GATTTAAGCGATGTTTTCCCAAACTGTCCCCTTTTAAAAGTGGGTGCCCTAAACCCCCAAAATCCCCCGACCCATTTATTTAAAGGGGGCAAGGTTGGGACAACACTGGATTAAAGGCAGCGTGTTTTACTCTTCTGATGCCTGCTTTCACTTTCATGTCCCATCAGATCGGGGAGGAGATGAGCCAGAACAGCTTCATCAAGCAGTACCTGGAAAAGCAACAGGAGCTGCTGAGACAGCGTCTAGAACGGGAAGCTCGGGAGGCTGCTGACCTAGAAAGTAAGTGCAGTTTGTCCTATTCCCTCCCTCCTCTCCTTACCCATAAGATGGGGGGAACCAGCTTGTTTTGAACCAAACACATCTTCGTGCTACTGTAAAACAAGGTTTCCTTCGAAGCTCTGTCTGATCAAGGAGAAATCTGTTCTATAGCCCAGCGTGCCTTTTTTCCACAAAAAAAAAATTGCACTGGAACTAAACTGACATTATATTCCTCCCATTTCCTTCCTTCCTTCCTTCCTTCCTTCCTTCCTTCCTTCCTTCCTTCCTTCCTGCCTTCCTTCCTTCCTTCCTTCCTTCCTGCCTTCCTTCCTTCCTTCCTTCCTTCCTGCCTTCCTTCCTTCCTTCCTTCCTTCCTGCCTTCCTTCCTTCCTTCCTTCCTTCCTGCCTTCCTTCCTTCCTTCCTTCCTTCCTGCCTTCCTTCCTTCCTTCCTTCCTTCCTGCCTTCCTTCCTTCCTTCCTTCCTTCCTGCCTTCCTTCCTTCCTTCCTTCCTTCCTTCCTTCCTTCCTTCCTTCCTTCCTTCCTTCATTGGGCTAAGAGAGGGGACTGGCCCAAAGCCACCCAGGAGGCTTCTGCAGCTAAGGGAGGATTAGACCCTGCATCTCCCCAGAGCTACTCCAACACCTTCACTGCTACATGCTAGTTCTCCGTTTGAGAGTATACTGTTCTCACTATGTTTTAAATCCTGTGTTATCATTAAAGTAGCTGATTTTAATCATCCTTGATTTATCTGAGAGTTTATGGTCATTTCACAAAGAAAAGGGAAAATATTGGCAAGACTCCCAAGGGTTTATTCTAGAAAGCAAAGGCACTCCGTCAATTAAACTGGGAAAATAAAAGACTGAGGCTTTGGGTGATGGTAATTATGGTCCAGCAAATCTGGAAGAGACCAGCCTGAGAAATGCATCTCCAAAGAAGCACACGCTATTGATGTGTTGAAAAAACATATTGAGAAGGAGATGAAGGAAATTGGCAAAAATGGTGGAAAGGAGGATGTTGCTGCTACTTCTCCTGGCTGTGCTATTCTTGTCCTAAGCAGTTTTTTGCTGTTTTTATTGTTTCACCTTAAAAATTTTTTTTTTTTAATCCAAGCTGTTAATAAAGTTGTTTGTGCTGAAAGGCTAACTCTAAACTCTCTATAAAAAAACAAAATGTGCAGCTTGGGAAAAATTAAAAGAACTTGGCAAGTAGGCTAGGCACTAATGAAAAACGTGCAACAAGAAGAGAATAGCAAGAAATACTGAGAGGAACAATTGAGAAACACAGGATTCGCTAACAAATATATCACATTGAAATTGGTGAGTTAGGGGTAAGAGTATGAGGAGTTGATACCTTTGTGTGCTCCCTTTGTGTGCTGAGAAATAAATATTGCTCAGTTCAGTGAAGTGAGCACAGGATTGAAGCCAGGCAGAACAATCCTAATCTCAGAATTGCTGTATACAGAAGCACTATCAGAATGGGGTATACTGTACAGTCCACCTTCCCTTAAGCTCTCAGAGTAGAGATACAGATGTTACATTATGTCCTGCCCCCATGCAACATCTGCATTTCTCTGCTCTGAGAGCTTAAGGGAAGATGGACTGTACGGCCATTCTGATAGATTCTACTTTTGTTCAATAATACCTGAATAGAAGCACCTTTGGGCATAAGAGCCCAAAACAGGAGTGTAATTGGGTTAGCTTGAAGCTGATATGCTGAAATTCCTCTCTTCCAGGTACTTTTGATAGATGTTGGGGATTCTTTAAAGAAGGGATCCTACTGCTCCCTCCTGTTTTTTACATACATTTAGCATGCGCTGCTCTCATAAAGTGGCTTACTAGACTCTTAAATAGTGTTTTTCAACCTTGGGAACTTTAAGATGTGTGGACTTCAACTCCCAGAATTCTCCAGCCAACAAATAAAAATACAATACAGGTAGTCCTCACTTAGCGACCACTTGTTCAGTGATCACTCGAAATTACGATGGTGCTGAATGAGACTTAAAACGGGTCCTCAAAGTTGCAGCTGTCACAGTGTCCCCACGGTCATGTGATTGCAATTTGGGTGCTTGTTAACCAGTGGGCAATTACAACAGTTGGGGCGTCCTTGATCACCATTTGCGACCTTCACTGCCGGCTTCCAACAAGCGAAGTCAATGGGGAGGCCAGCAGGAAATTGCAAATCGCGGTCACATGATGTGGCACTTACTGACTGCACAGGATTTGCTTAACAAACTGCAGCTGGAACTGCCGTCGTAGGTTGGTGCAGTCACGTGATTTTTCACTTTACGACCGCGTTGCTTAGCAAAGGCACTACCGGTCCTAATTGCAGTCATTAACTGAGGACTACCTGTGATTGCAACTTTTAGGTCATAAATCACAAAAGAGCAGCAACAGATTTTTTTCCCCTCTCTTACAGCAACAGTATAGTTCAGATACAGCTTGAAGCAGAAGTCTCTTCTGAGTTTGATTTTGCTTTGGAAAAAAACAGTGATGAGGCGTTATCATGATCCCTGGGGGTGGTCATTCCAGAGTGGGGCCATCAGTGAGAAGGCCATGGCTTTAGTATTTGCCAGGGGTGGGCCATGAAACAGGGCATCCAACACTGAACTTAACAAAATTCATGTAGGGATCGGTGCTCTGCAGCTCTCCAAAGGTTGCTGAGTTCTAACTATCTAACCAGTTCTGAACTATCCCAAATGGAGATAATTTAAAACAGAGGTAAGCGACCTGCTGACCTCCAGAAATACATATCCTTTAAGAACCACATACCCTTTAAGAATCACACTGGCTAGTGGCCAGAAGTTATGGGAGTTGTAGTCAGAACAACGGGTAGGGCCATGCAAAACATCAGGAACAAAGGAAGAAAGTTGCTTTGGGCTGCAGTTCTTTAAAGCAGGCACATTTTCCCCAGGTTCTGGTGGCTTCCTCCTGCAGTCATAGTGCAGCCCTGAAAAAAGGACTTGATGAATAATACTGAGCATTAGGTTGTCTACCTTTGATTTAACAGATCATTTCTGCTGCACGCTAACTATATACAAAATCTGGTCAAACATAACCTTACTTAATCAGATTTCTGTAGCTTTGAAATAACAAAAAAAAGCATTGTGGCTCTGGCATGTCTCTGCGAAAATTACATTGGCCAAAAGAAAATAGATGGCTGGTTTTCAGCTAGATATAATTAATTTTGATATAATTATTGAGGCCGTGTTATTATAGGCTGGATGAAATAGATGCTAGTTATTGTGTTGGGTATATTGTAATTCTGCAAATAAGGTACAGGTGCATGTGCTGTCGCACTCTCTCATTTATGTATATATATTTAAAAAATGCGCACTATGCAAGTTCAGCCTCCCTTTTTATACCACAGCTGCGCAGATGTAAAGTGGTACAAGGGATAGTCTGGTCCTGCCTGGATTCTGTCACTTACACCAGAATGTGGATTAGAGTCTCCTGTGTTGGAGCTCAGTTTCCCTCCCGCCACCTAGTGCCCTATGACAGAGATATGATGTGATATATGATATATGATGTGATATTGCCCTATAAGAGAACAGGTGCCCCAATTCAGCCTGTTTTTGCTGACCTCCAAATCGTAATGTAAATTTAGGTTCTGAAGAAGTCCTTGTCCCAGTTCTGTTCCCGAGCCATTTGCACGTTTGCAGAGATGTTTCTGCAGAAGCCTTCCTTTCCTACCGCATTCTTGGCTGACTAGCAACAGGCCAGGAAATGTCACCCTGTGAGTGGCCAACAGACACTTCTGTGAATGCTGTAGATCCTCAGCCTCATATTATTTGAATGTTTATTTATTTTGTAAGAGAATTTTGATCAAATGCTCCTCAAGACAGTTCCAATAAATTAGAATAATCGACAACAAGCCGGTGCCTTTCATTGTGCTGACTGTTGCTTGTAACTATAGTGCACTTTTATTCAGCCTTGCTATCTCAGAACGACAGCTGGCAGATCTGGGAGCTGATGTTCTGTCTGGCAGAGGGGAGGTGGGAAGCCTGCTCCATCTTGGACCAGTTGGAAGGTCCAGGTAGCCTTCCCCATGCTGGGATGTTCTTCCAAGGTGATGGGAGATACAGACCTTTATCAAACCTGGCTGACAGTTTGAGTGCATTTCTTTTCTGTAATTTGAGGTGGGGTAGCTAGATTTAGATAGATCAGAAACAAACCTATGTCATGAGCAACAGGGTAGGGTGCACATACACGGATACACACTGAGGAGAAGGCCAATACTGCAGGTAGTCCTCGCTTAACGACCACAATAGGGATCAGAAAATTAATGTTGAGCAGGGTGGTCATTAAGCAAATAACCATGTGACTGGATCTGATTTTGCAACCATTTTTACAACAGTCCAGCTTCCCCAATGGACGTTTTTTGCTGAAATTCACTTAACAGCTGTGGCGATTTGCTTAATGACCATAATAAAAAAGGTCGCAAATTGCAATCATGTGACTGCGGGGGGGTGGTATGATGGTTTGCATCGGTCGTAAGTGTGAGTACAGGTCGTAAGGCACTTTTTCCAAGGCTGTTGTAACTCTGAACCCTTGTTAAATGGTTGTTAAGTGAGGACTACCTGTATTGATAGGGCAGTGCTCTCCTTTGTTGATATTCTAGCAGGACCAGAGATCAGCTCGGCCTTTGCTTTCCTGTTTCCCTTCATGCAGAAGGGAGCAAGAGAGGCAGGGAGAAAAGCGCAAAAGAGGGGCAATCCCTCAGCTTTCCTGCCACATTTGTAATCTGAATTGCACCCAGTTCTCAGTGGCTGGCTGACTTTTCCACTAGAGGGGAATCCTGGATGTTCTCTGCTTGAGGACTGTATTTTGGAACAGTTTGGACTTGAGGCTGACCTGCTGCCTGTTACTGTTCAGGAAGAGGCTTCCAACAGTCCTTTGACTCAAGCCTTCAGAGCTTTTATGCAGGCGGTTTTCTTTTATCGTTACAACGTGTATAAGCCACAGGGAATGGGAGGCCTGTGGATTTGTTAAAAAAGGAAGGCAGTGGGGAGGGGGCGCTGAGCCCTCTTCTGCTTGGCTGCCAAACCAGTCTTCCCCAGCCTGCTTGCTTTGCAAGATGCGGTGCATCCAACCTGGATAGGAGAACCTCGCGCATCTCCCAGGGCCCTCCTGAATCTCACTTTGAAACCAGCTAACGGGTGTCCTCTTCCTTTGCTAGGCAAAAGCTGCGTCATCTCCCGAGAGAGGGGAGAGTCAGACGAAGAAGAACCCAGAAGACCAGAGCAACATTCCTCTCGGGTGAGGCAGGTAAGTGGCAGCCGCAGAGGAGGGACAGGAGGTTCGGCAAGGCAGGGAGCCACGTGCGGGCCATCCAAAGAGGAGGGGGAAGGGGTGATGGGGAGACGCTCAGCAGGAGCAGGGAATCTCCACGGCAAGGGGCCTCTGCTTTTGAATGAGTATTTCTGGGTTCGTTCAGGGAACAGTTGAGTGATCCTGATTTTTTTCACCCTTCATTGGTTACTTCGTTCTTTTTACAGTCAAGAAGGGGGCTTAATGCACGTACTTTTCCTTAATGCCCCATTGAAAATAGGTGAAAATTGGTGCTGCTGTTCCTTGGGGGGTTGCTGCTGAATGCTGGTGGTTTAGGCTGGGGGGGCTCAGTGGCTGCTAAAAGGGGACTTGAGAAGCGTCACAGATGGTCCCCTAAATGCATCCTGTAATTCCCTCTTCTCCTTTAGGCCAGAGCTGTGAAGACTGCGGGAGGTGGCCATGCCCTGGCTAGCGAAGAGCGGGAGACTTCTCTTCGAAGTCGGAGGGCTGCCCAGCGGGTCCCTGTAAAAGAGGAGGAGGAAGAGGAGGAGGAGGAGGAAGAAGAGGAGGAGGAGGAAGAGGAGGAGGAGGAGGAGGAGGAGGATGCTCCCCCTTTGCTGCTTGGCCAGACACCCATGAGGCCAGAGGAGCCTGGCATGCCAGCTCCCCAAGAGACGGGCATGTGCCAAGCTTCCCTGCCCATCGTCCTACAGGCCCAGCAAAAGGAGGGTCGATCCCAGACTCCAGACACCCCGGGCTGTGAAGCTGCCATGCCGCTCCTCTCGCACTTGCAGAGGCCAGGAGAGGGGGAGGCCCTGCCCACGGGACCAGCACCTCTGGAAAAGCAGCAGGCAGCTCTGACACCAGGGGAAGCCTTGGAAGCCCAGGAAAAGGAGCCACTGCAGGCAACCACCACAGAGGCTGTAGCCCAGTTACCCGAAGCCTTAAAAGTGGAGACCGAAGAAGACCTGGGCCTTCAGAAGGAGCAGAGGCTGACTGACCTCTCCAAGGCCCCCGAGGAGGTGGTGGTGGACCAGGGTGACACCCCGGCTACTCTGTTGCAGGCGGTGGATGAGCCCCCGAGTGAGGAAAGCCAAGAGGAGGCAGCCGAGGCGCTGCGCAGCCTCGAGGAAGAGGCGACTGCTGCAGCCGCAGCGCTGGTGCAGGCGTCTCCTTCTCCCCCACAGCTGATTGAAGCACAACAAGCCCAACAGGACCCCCGGGGAGATGAGCCACCTCCCCCGCTCCTGACCAAGGAAGCCCCTGCAGGACTTGCTCCTGCTGAAGATGAAGCCCCCCCTCAGCTCTCTCAGCCGTCTCCCCCCTCTCAGGAAGCACTGGCTGGGGCCAGCCTAGGAGCCTCGCCATCCCCCTTGGCGCTCCCGCCACATCAGCGGGTACGGCCAAGCAGCTCGCGCTCCTCTTCCTCCTCGGAATCCAGCTCCTCCCGTTCCCGCTCTCGCTCCCCGGGCAGCTCACCACCCCGATCCCACACAAGGAGGCCCCGCTCTGGTTCGTCTGAATCACCTGCTCGGAAGCGCCGGGTTCTGGGATCCCAGTCGCGCTCTGGCTCTGAGCGGCGCAGCAGTTCGTGTTCCAGGTCCCGCTCCAGATCTCGCTCCAGCAGTGGCGGCAGCAGCAGCAGCAAGGTGAGTAGGATTCTGAATTCCCTGCGCTTTCAGTGTCAGGTCGCATCTCTCTAAATGAGTCAGAGGAAATTTTATATGGAGTTCAGCCTTGTTACTTATTCTTTCTTTAGCCCTGTGGGAATGTCATGCTGAGATTATTTCCAACGCAGGGTCTCCGGGGTGGAGATGGTGTCTTCTTTAAAAGTATTGGGAAGTTGGAGATAAATACGGGAGATACTTCAATCCACCTTATGACTTAGTCAATTGTTTGATTATGTACAGGTAGTCCTCAGTTAACGACTGCCCTGTTTAGCGACTGTTCAAAGTTGCAACGGTGCTGAAAAAGTAACATTATGGCAGGTCCTTGAAGTTATAACCATTGCAGCGTCCCCACAGTCACATGATTGCCATTCAGGGTTTTGGAACCAGCACATGTTTATGACCAGCGTCTGGCAGTCACTTGATCACCATTTGCACGCTTCACAGCTGGCTTCCAACAAGCAAAGTCAATGGAGAAGCCAGCAGTAAAATCACAACTTGTGGTCACATGATGTATCACTTAATGAGTGCAGGTGATTCGCTTAACAACCATAGCAGAACTGGTGTAAGTCTGGCATGGTCACGTAATGTCTTAATGACCATGTCACTTAGCGATGGAGTTGCCATTCCCAATTGTGGTCGTTAAGTGAGGACTACCTGTACAATAATTAAACCTTGCTTTAGGGCTTTATGCTGTGCCCTGCTAGGGCAGCTGTCTCACCAGCTTCTCCAGGTAGGCAGAGTGCCAATTCCTGAGTATCGTTTATCCCATTCTCACCTTTGGCTTCAAGATCAAGAAGATGTGAGGGAACTTCAAGAACTGCTCCTTGACCAATGCAGCATTTTTTTGGCACATCGCTTGTAGCAGCTCCTTATCCAGGCAGATCAGAGCAGCTCTTAGCTAGCAGTGTGCTGTTTGAATTCAACATCTGGCACTTGCTTAAAATCAGAGTTGCCTGAGCCTAGTTGGCTGTTGCCTCTGAAACAAGGCTGCACTAAGTGTTTTTTGAAAGCAAATAGATATTTTCAGCTTAGGACAAGTTGATTCTTGGGGATTAATGGGAAAGCTTGGTGTAAGGAAATCAGTGGACTTGAAATGCCTCCCTGCTAGCTTCTACCCAACATTTTCAAGTACTGGTACATGAAGCAAAGCTTTGTGTCTGAAAAGGATGCATTTCAAGGCTTGCATAAAAGGAAAACGAGGCATGAGCTTGCTTTAAAGCACTTTGGGATGCTTTAAAGAAATCTGTTTCAGCGTGTTGACTTTTTTAATGTAAATTTGAGGGATGCTGTTCCTTAGATCCTCTTTCCACGAGTGTCCTCAAAGCCAGTGAG